TATTTTGCGCCCAGTTTTGACGGTTAATCATTCATTCATGATCACTGAAATTATTTTCGATCATCGCAACAATTGTTTCAATAAAACCAAGAGAATTCCTAAAACAATTTAAGCTAGTTTAGGCTGTCTCAAATCCTCAGAAGCTATTATCGTAGAACTGATGCCGTGCCAGGATTGAAGGCCTTTCAACGGGGCCAGCCTTTATCTGTAGCCCTTGACTCCCCACTGCAGAATATCTGACCGCTCTCCTTCTCTCCCCTCCGCCCCTCCTCCACACCCCTCCCCGGCGTCCCCGCCTCCTCCACACTGCCCTTATCTGCCGCTCATAGTACCACACCGCAAACTTCCTTATCTTCTTGTTGGTAGCAGTGTATATAATGCAGTTAGCTACTGTCATAATAGGTAGCAGCCATTGTTCAAACACGTCAGCAAGACTGTAGGTTAGTCGCATAGAACAAGGATCTGGAGAGGCTGCCCCACATGCTATTTTAACCATGTTGTTAACTATGGGTCCGGAGTTGCTGATCAGGAAGATAGTGGAGATGAGAAGTGACGTTTTTACCGCTTTGTAGTTCTTTGACTGGTGGCAGGCTTCAACTTTCAGTAGGCTCTTCATAACTTTGTCCTGCTTGCTGGCGATCGTCCAAATAATTCCAATCAATGCGATGATTGTGAAGCACACCATGACGGATATCACTGATGTGACAGTCTTTAAAGGTGAGGTATCCGAACAGTTGAATGATGTAATATTTTCACAAATAAGGAGACCCATACAAGGACTTACCTTTTGGTTAATTTTAATAAGCATAACAAATAAGATAGTGCAGATAAAAATGGTGTGAAAGTAGCGTGACCGGATTCTGCAAACTATCATAATGGACTGTAAGGGGTAAACAGTGAAAGTAAAACGGACCACCGTTATTAGGAGAGTTGTGATTATGATTCCTCGAACGAGGCATTCTCTTCCCAGACCAAACGCCCGGGCAAATCCAGCTTCAACTGATTTGTGGGTGTTTAAAAAGTTAAGCCAAATAGTTCCGTTTTTGTCCAAGGGATGATAGTTGTGCTCAGAGTCGGACCCCGCAGAGAACAGTAGGATGAAGATCTGGAGGAGAATACAGAGTCCGTAGAGAAGGTCAAAGCTAGCGAGGTATTTCAGCAGCCTCCGTGTGATGACGTAGTAGCCAGAACAATCTGGAATTAAATTTATATTATTGATGATGTAATAGCAAAAAAATTCAATTTGCTGGCATTTTAGTATTCCGTTAGTACTGTCCACAAAATTGGCATATTTCCAAGAGCTAATTTAGTTGAAACAATTGGGAAACGTGTGATTTACCAGTATTCGAGCTTTTCATTAATCATTAAGAATTAAAACGAGCCCTTCATATTATGGAGCCAGGGTGTATAAAATTTAGCTTTGTAAATTAAATTATGTTGGAGGTACTGACCTTTTAAAGGAAAATTGATGAGGATGTTAATAAAGAATCCGTTGAAGATAACAGCTAACAATCCCATGATAATTCTGTAAATCATCAATTGTGTTTTGTACTCGTTGCTGGACAATACCTGTAGACGTTGTAATTAATGTATCCAAGAATATGGAAATTAAGAAAAATAATTTACAGCCCATCGTTTAATTATTAAATTTGATAGATTGTAGATAATCATCACTTCTTTTTTAAATGAATAAAATATTTACACCTTAAATATTAAATTTAAAAGCACACATTACACTGAATCATTACCTTTTCAGAAAAGTTCATTTGCTCCGTGCACTCATCTAGTGTTGCCATAACTTATCCTATTTTTTGCTGAGAAGCTTGAAAAGGTTTTGATAGTACTTTAATAGATGGCAAATGACACGATTGAGGTGCTGGAAGTTTGATTTTTGTCGGAGGAAGCTCACAGCAGAAAGCTTAACAAAACGAAAATTCGTATCTTCCAAACTCTGTCCCATATCCAAATACGAAAATTTATGAACACAAATTTGACAGATTGGGTGAACCTTTTGCTCAGAAACCGATTAGTCAGTTAATTTATGATGGTATGAAACCAAATTGAGGTACTGGAAGTCAAAATCCCGAAGAAAATTGAAAAATCATAATGTCCCAAATTCTGTCCCATTTTCAGTTTTTGAGGGTGTGATTTCCAGGACCGAAAGTTTACAGTTTTGATTAAATTTTAAGTAATAGTATGTAGTAGCTTAACAAAAGCGTCAAAAGTTTAAAAAACAAAAAAAGGACTTCGAAATCATATCGCCAAAGTCACCACATTTAGATGCCTAGAAAACATGTTAATAATGATATTGAAGAGACCTGAAGTTTTGCAGGGCTTCTACTTCTAGTATAACTTGACAAGTAATACAAATCGAAGGCAAAAATTTTAGGTTTCAGGAGTGTCAGTTTCAAGAGTATTGACATCGTTTTTTGGAAAAAGGAGGCACAAAAAATACTATAAACATTAAACAGCCACATGTAAAAGCAATTTTGGAATATAAAATGAACGTCAGGATACTCCCCCCACCCCCCTAAGGAGAACGCTTCCCTAAGGAGTTGAGTTATACTAGTAATAGTAATACAGATAACACAATTTAACTTTATCAGACAAAGAAAGGATAGTGTATCATATACTGCTGAAAAGATTGAGGGCAAGGGCAGGGGATTGTTGCTACTCAAGGCCACAATTCAGTGCCTTATTGAGGCAGGAGATTATTGCTACTCAAGGACACAATTCAGTGCCTTATTGAGGCAGGGGATTGTTGCAACTCAAGGATAGAATTCAGTGCCTTATTTTAGAAATTTTCTATGAATGCTCACTGTCTCAATACGACCCAGATGTACTGATCATGTTGATTTGAAAACCATGGCATGTCACGTCCGTACATGGTATAAGGAAGCTGTTCTTCATTCTCAATAGTTCTGGAAGATGTTAACTTTTAGGTTCGAGTTAGGGATGGGGAGTTTGCATGTTTGTGTTTACTGTTTGGGTTACGGCTGTATACCGATCCCGCGCCGAATCAAACAACGGTCAAAGCTGATATAAGTACTTTAATATTATTATCTTATATTTTTATTACAATCAATGCAAGGCTCATTTTACGTAAGGTGTTTCCAGTTGAGCCGCTCAACTGGAAACACCTTACGTAAAATCTGGTCAAGTTTTGTAGTAACTATTATTTTATATCCTTCTTTCAGTAATGCGTCACTAGTAGAGCTACTCCTTAGAAGGTAAATTTATGATAATGTAAGTACAAAATGTTAGCATGTTGCTTCCGGTACAAGTGTAACCGAACACTGAACAGCCTAATCGATCATTCTTCAAAGAACTGAATATTCTAAAATTTGATTTATTTTCATTACCGTAGGCGGAACTTCAACTACTAAATTGACGGATGTTACTCGTCTAAATTTCTTCGAAGTAGCGCGCGCCGCTTTCTTCTCGAAATTGGAAATGGCCCGACGGCACGAGCTACGAAGTAGCGCGCGCCGGGCCAAATCATTAACAATGGTCAACTACTAAACAAAAAGTTAGACTTAAAGTATTTTGGAAGTTTTTTCTGATCATGATAAAAAGTCCAGAGAAATTATTTTGGTCATACTCATATATTATGATACGTATCTGGTATCGTATAGATCTTTTATTTCTAACAAAAATGATTTGCAAAATATCATCCACGGGTTATTTGTAAGGGTTATTTGTACTGGTAACTGGTTATTTGTACTGGTAACTGGTTATTTGTACTGGTAACTGGTTATTTGTACTGGTAACTGGTTATTTGTACTGGTTATTTGTACTGGTAACTGGTTATTTGTACTGGTAACTGGTTATTTGTACTGGTAACTGGTTATTTGTACTGGTAACTGGTTATTTGTACTGGTAACTGGTTATTTGTACTGGTAACTGGTTATTTGTACTGGTAACTGGTTATTTGTACTGGTAACTGGTTATTTGTACTGGTAACTGGTTCTTTGTACTGGTAACTGGTTATTTGTACTGGTTATTTGTACTGGTAACTGGTTATTTGGGAAACTTTTTTAATTGTACTGTGTAGCTGCATAAGGACGGTTCTGCATAAAAAGTCTTTGCTGAAACTAGAGCAACTATGACAAGTGATCAATAACTCAATTAAATTTAAACTGTGAATTGCGCGGAAATTTCCAAATTCCAGCCAATTGTCTGACTGATTCGAGCACAAGAACAGTTTTAACCAAACTAGTACAATCTCGCTATTATATTATAATATCTAGTAGATCCGTGAATAGCAATGCAATGGTCTTATACATGGAATTGGGAATGTCTAGATCGATGACTGATGAGATTTAGCTGTTTGGTAAAAAACATCTTGGCAGCCACTGAACACTGCATTTTAGGGTTATATAATTGACAGTGTTCGGGTCCTGTACTCCTTTGTAGCGCGATGCTAGATCGTCGAGATGCGCTACTGTGCCGCGCCGAGCTGCCATGAATTGACATCGTCAATTACAAATTAAGTACTCCTGTACTCGGTACTCCCTCTCGGGAGTTTGGTCACCGGCCTTGACACTTTACTACGGTAACACGCATACTCTGTACATTGGTGGTGATCTCGATACTGGTGAAATAGATTAAAACCAATGTCCCAGTTTCCACCTGCAGTGTCTCAATCTTCTGTGTTCCTATAGCTATGTCATTGAAGCCCGAAATAATTTCAAATAACGCGCGTGCGTATTTTGGCGCGCATTAATCACACTGGCTGTAACCGCTACGATACTTTTATCTCAGAAAAGGAGTCATTAAGTAGACCAATCTAATTAAGTAGACCCTCTCAGATCAATTCATCAGCACTCCCCCGTTTCCGTAGGACACGTACGGAGTCCGTTGGTTATTAATCAAAATATTTTAGACGATTTTTCTGAATATGAAACACTCAATCTAAAATTTTAATTGTTTCCAGGTTTATAAATTGGTCACGAAAGCTGCTTTTTTGCGTTTGCAATAGATAGAATATGAACGAAAGGTTACAGGAAATAATTTGACATGAAACAATTAATATATGTTACAATTATATTACATGAAATATATATTATCATTCTTTAAATAACCTGCAAATTGTTTAGATCGGATTTTGGCTCAACCAAATGTTACCCAAACGGCATAAAAACACTCTAACATGGATGTCAAAAATAATTATAACATTTTATGTTGTATACATTTTTTGATTTCTGTTACAGCTCTCCTAACAGTAAATCAAACCCCAGTCAAAAACTTTGTTGGTAAAATCTTGGAGGATACAGCAGGATGATTTTGGAACTATCCTCAATCTCATATTTCCTGCCTTTACCTCATTATATTATGATCACATCAATTTAACACTAATTTTAACTTATCTTCAGTGCTACTGTACACCAGCCGCTAAAATCCTATTTTAAAGTAACTCAAAGTATTTGTGGGCGGTCTTCAATAATCGTGACCACGTGACTAGTAATGCTATGTGTCTAGTGACCACGTGACTAGTAATGCTATGTGTCTAGTGACCACGTGACTAGTAATGCTATGTGTCTAGTGACCACGTGACTAGTAATGCTATGTGTCTAGTGACCACGTGACTAGTAATGCTATGTGTCTAGTGACCACGTGATAAAGTGAGTCTAGGCAGCACAGTGCGGAGTAAGAAAAGTGGCCCATTTCTTTGTTACAAATTGTGCTGTCTCAATGCCTCGAAAAGCTTTTATTGCACGAAATTAACTTTTATGTAATTCGAATAAGTGCAATAATATCCAACAACGCTAAGTAACAGTTTGTGACTGTAACTTACATGCTTGCAAATGGACCCTTTCACCGTGTAATGGACTGTCTCAGTAGTTGTCGTCCTTAAATCTTTGATACCAATAAGCTGAGTGAGCATACACATAACTATTATTCCTTTTATGAGGTTCATGGACAACTGTAAAGTTTAAAGGAGGGAAATAACCCGTGGCTGGAAGTTTACAGGTTGTGTATCATGTCGAGGTTCATGTTGAGATTCGTGTCGAGATTCATGTCGAGAAACGAGACATATAACGAGTTACGAGACACATATCGAGACTTGTAGATTGAATTTAGTTACGTATCAAAGAAATTAAATAATCTTCCCCCTATTTTTAACACTATAAAAGTACAAGCGAGTCAATAGAAACCCAATTTGACATACCTTTTGATAAACCTACTGTAAATAATATTCTGAAATCAAGCATGCAATCTCAATCAAGGTTTATTTCTGGAATGTTGAGTATTTAAACAACATAACGGTAGCCAGCTGCTGGAAGAAGGTATTATCACTAAGAAAGAGATTAAGTACTCTAGTCTTAGTAGTCGTTATTTTACACGTAGTAGAGACGTACTTTAGATTGACTGATTTCGTCGTTTCCGTCGTAGAATGTGGTTTCTATCACTACGTTACCGCTGAGAAGTTAAGTGTTAATATTTGATAAATTATTTTTTTCTTTTTGTTAGTACACTGAGAAATAGTGAAAATCTGATAAAAAACTTTGAGCATTTTAACTACAGCAGTAATAATACATTATTGATTAATAGGTATTTTTTTGTATTATTCTAATTTTCATGTATTTTTATAACCCAAATATGCAAAAATGGAGCGATTTATAATTTATCTCATGAATTGCGACCATATAAAACCCCCTCTCTCTCTCTCTCTCTCTCTCTCTCTCTCTCTCTCTCTCTCTCTCTCTCTCTCTCTCTCTCTCTCTCTCTCTCTCTCTCTCTCTCTCTCTCTCTCTCTCTCTCTCTCTCTCTCTCTCTCTCTCTCTCTCTCTCTCTCTCTCTCTCTCTCTCTCTCTCTCTCTCTCTCTCTCTCTCTCTCTCTCTCTCTCTCTCTCTCTCTCTCTCTCTCTCTCTCTCTCTCTCTCTCTCTCTCTCTCTCTCTCTCTCTCTCTCTCTCTCTCTCTCTCTCTCTCTCTCTCTCTCTCTCTCTCTCTCTCTCTCTCTCTCTCTCTCTCTCTCTCTCTCTCTCTCTCTCTCTCTCTCTCTCTCTCTCTCTCTCTCTCTCTCTCTCTCTCTCTCTCTCTCTCTCTCTCTCTCTCTCTCTCTCTCTCTCTCAGGCCTGATCTATCACTTACCTCAAAAGTGACGGCGGTATCATCTGGTTTGAGGCTGCAGCTTCGATAAGATTCTGCCAGGTATTTGTTGATCCAGGTATTACGTAACCAAACTCGAAAAACCATTCTGAAAATCATTCAATTGCTCAGTGTGTACTACATAAAACATAAACAATAATATAACGAGAAACATAATATAATTAATATAACGAGAAATGAGAGTTCAATAAAAACACACAATTATTAATGTTTGGCGATTTGAATGTAACCCTGAATTTCTGTCTCTAAAGTGTGCTAACGAGTTCGAGAATAGGAATGGTAGACACCGGAGTAATTTATTCAACATATTAAGTGGTGATGACTTGCTATTACTTATTGGTTTTTAAAACGGACTTTTTGACGATTTTTCGAGGTCCAAGATATTTAAAATCGAATAAAAACTGTTTAAAGGCATATCTCAACATTTTGCCTGGACAAGCTCTTAAATCTTTAAATATAAATGATCCTTCGAACATATCCTGAAAGTTTCAGGGTGATTGCTCAAAAATTGTAGGAGAAGATTGCTCGCGCAATACAATTACACACAAGCGCTGACCATTTACCGGCGATAATTTCAGCTAGGAACAATATTTTTCTATCGGATCAAAAGCAACTGATAGATATCACTCCCCTCTATCAGAAACAACTAAAAGTCGATTTTGAGAAAATTTCCATGAAGACCCCCCTGCCCCCTAAATGCAAACCAAGTTAATTATATAACGAGAAATGAAAGAAATAAACTCAAGTTCAATACTCTCTGAAATGTGGATTCTGGTCATGGTAGGGAGATGAAGCATATTTTCATATTTTGGCACGTGACAGCAATAAACCAATCAGCTTCCACTATATTGACCACTAAAACCCTAGAATCCCGGTCACGTGTCTAAAACTATGCTTCACCTCCCCAATAGAGCCCGCATCTCTACTATAATTCAGAGAATTCCCTTTGTACAATGTTTGTACAATGAGGCATCATGTAGCCTCCAGGCTCGACAAACCCCGACAAACCCCGACAAACCACGACAAACCCCGACAAACCCCGACATATCCCGACAAACGGGGTTTGTCGGGGTTTGTCGAGGGGTTTTGCCTCGGGCCCACCGGCTACATGAGGCCTTCTTGTATAGTGTTTTTCCACGTAAAGCTTGATGACTCCGTCTCGGCTTTTTGTTGGGAGACTCAAAAAAAAAGAAGAAAAAAAAAGCCTCCAGGCTCGACAAACCGGAAACCCCGTCAAACCCCGTCAAACCCTGACAAACACCGACAAACCCCGACAAACCCTGAAAAATCCCGACTAACCCCGACGTGTCAAGATATGTCGTATCATGTCGGGCCCACCGGCTACATGATGCCTACAATGTACGTTTGTACGACCAACCACGTGCAAATTAGGTAAAAAGCAAAGGGTTGCAAAGTAACCATGATAACGAGGGTTGTTACACGCACGTGCACGTGCAAAGATTGTTAAAGCAGCATTTTTATCGGTTTTGTTGATATTACGTTGTGTTTAGTGCGAGAAATATTTTAATCGGCTGTATCTTCGGTTGTGATGGATATTTTTTGACTCGATTTAAACTTACTAACAAAAAATACTATTAGGTTCCTCCCTGTGACCACGGGTTTTCTAGTCTATTATAATCTCACACATACGATAAGAATTTAAAAGCCTAAAACATTAAGAAAAAATAAAGTTTCTACAATTGTGATGTTTAAAAATCTCGATGTAACAGACACAAATTCGAACAAAAAAGTATATTTAAACCAAACCTTCTAAAATTTCACTGTTGAGAAAGACTCTCTGTTCGAGTCTGAATCTTTTCATCTCTTGCTCTGAACTAAAGTTTATCTCCCGAGATACGGATCTGCATTTCAGTATCTTCTTAGGAACCCGAGCTGTAATAGACTAGATGAGACTTGTTACTGACTTGATTAACCTTCTAATAGACTTCATAAGACTTGTGATAGATTTTGTTGCTGACTACAAATTATGTACATATATATCAAGATAATGACGTAGTTCCATAATAAGATAATAACATGTTGATAGGGATGTTGAGCTGGAACACCGCTCTTGATTGCAGTTAAACATCATTTCTAGGCAATAAATAAATTCTAGGTAAATATTTCCAATTCTTTATAATTACCTTCGTGCTCTTTACTTGACAGCGTCCTGAAACAGAAAGTATTTAGCTTACTTTTATTATTTCAGGTTTCTGATGAACACTAAAAATTGTTGTCGAGGTTTCTGGTTGAGCAGAGATATCGTAATCTTGCTTCAAACTCGAATAAGAGCATCGCATGTCTGCAACAACGTCAGTGTTATTATACTACAGCATGATTACATATCAAGATAATAAAACTATTACATCATTACAACAGAACTGCATGATGAGATTTTAAGTGTTTAACTTCGAGCGTTAACCGCAGTAAACCATCACTGGACCTATTTAAGCAGTGTACCAAACCTCGTCCTCACGGTGTCACGTGATGAAATGATTTATCAATATGTTGACGAGAATAGATTTATACTTTGATGCTTGTCCGAAAGTAATATGCACATATTATTAAGTACTAAGCATTTTGCCAGCAGATGATTTCGCACGTTTTATCAGGAAGTTTGATATGTGAAATGTGTAATGGTTTTAAGTGATATATAACATGGTGGATTCGTGTAGTGTTATTGAGTCTCATGATTTGATGTTTCTTTCATTCAAATTTCAGATTGTTTTGAATAGACTCAGTGAAGACAGATTCTAAATGGATTCTATTTATTTCCATTAGAATCTGTTTTCACTTAGTCTATTCAGAAACAATCAGAAATTTGAATGAAAGTGATATATAATAAATAATAAAAAGCATGGTCAGGATCTACTTTACCATGCACACTAGCAGTTTCGTATCTTGCTCTAAGTTTACACACAAAAAAAACCTTTTTTAACAATTTTCGATCGATATAATTGAATCAATTATTGTGGGACAGGATTCCCACATGAAATGTGAAATACTTACAAATCGTCATCTCCCTGCCAGAGAACCTTGCCACTCTCAGCATCACGAAGATTCATCCAGTTCAGTCTAAACCCAAGTGTCTTCTTCTGCTTAACTTCCATTCCTGGCTCAGGATCTCTTGCAATGCAACCTTAACCTACAACAGCGTATTGGTAAGAAACGAATGAATGGCACTAAGAGTGGTGCTATTAAAATGTTAATATTCTTATTATATTAAAGTTGCTTATGACTTGTAACATACAAGACAATGCAGAATATGGCTTAAATGTATGATAAATTGATTAATAATTTAAATGATAGCTAAAATGAGAAGATCTCAATGTAAATACAAATATTTTCCAATCACACCCAGATCAATAACATCACTTCCACTAGACTGGATCAGCATTTAAAATACAGTTTAAATTGGACTGGACAGTACCAACCTTAACTGGACTCTAGTTAATAACAAGTGATATTATATATATATATATACAGAATGAAACGGTTGGTAAACCAATTGTTTTAATCATGCTCAAACAAAGCATGATCTCTTTAGCGACAAATAAATAAGGAACTGAAATGGGAAATAACAGAGCACCAAGCTGAAAAGTTACACAAACTGTCAGCAAACCTGAGTTACAATTTTAATTTGTACAGCAGTGAGACAGCCATTGTTCCTGTTTTGGAGAGCCAGCTATTTTCAATTTTCTACTTAACCCATGCGTATACACTTAAGTCAATAATTTTACCTTTTATTTGTAGAATGGGAATTTAAATAACCTGTGCTAGTGCCATGAATCCCTGGGATGAGCTAAGGACTTCAATCGGTCTGTATTAATTCAGTCAAATGATTGAGATCAGTAAAACATAGTTGATGAAGGGCCCGCTGACCCGTAGTGCAAGGGGGGCGCCAAAGTATCGTGTGTTTTGTCTAAAACGATTGTAATATAAAACTTCTAATTTGTAATGCATTTGTAATGCATCAAGCTGGCTGACCGAACTACCTTATGAGAAGTACGGATTTGTCTTGAACAAGCAAGGGTTCAAAGACGCTATAGCACTGAGATATGCTCTACCCATTGCCAACATAGCCAAGAAATGCATTTGTGGCAAAGATAACACCTACAACCACATTCTCATTTGCAAGAAAGGAGGCTTTGTCAACAGCAGACACAACCGACTGAGAGACACCATTGCAAGCATTCTTGAAAAAATCTGTAATGAGGTTGTTGTAGAGCCCACACTCCAACCATGCACTGGAGAAAGCCTTCGCCCTGGTACCATTCTGGATGATGGGGCAAGGCTTGACATTGCAGCTAGAGGTCTGTGGTCACCAATGGAGATAGCATTTTTTGATATCAGGGTTTTACACCCCGGAGCCAAATCCAACGCTTATCACAACACCCCAGCAAAGATGTACAATAAGCATGAGAGAGAGAAAGAAAGGAAATATGGAGACCACTGTGTACAGATCGAAAAAGGAACCAGCAATGGCCTTGTATTCTCGACCACCGGAGGTATGGGCCCACAGGCTACCATGTTCCTTAAACGAGTGGCAACACTTCTGGCAGCCAAGACCAGCCAGGACAAAAGCCTCATCATGGCAAATCTTAGACGTCGTTTGCGATTTGAGCTACTTAAATCAGTTTTGATTGCAGTGAGAGGACACAGAGGGCTGAGGACGGTATTATGAGAAAGCAATACCTGTTCACGAACTGGACCTAAATCTCGCACACACCACCAGCGATGAAGACAGAGGTGATGATGTTGATGATGAAGATGAGGAAGTTGATGATGAGGTTGAGAATGTAGAGGAAGAGGTTTCAGAAGAGTGAGCTGAAAAGAAGACAAGATTCTATTCTAATTTATTGATTATTATATTTATTGAAATAAACATATAATATCCATTACTCCAGAAGTGATGACAGGATATTGAAAAAAAAGTGAACAAAATTTGTAATCCTTGTAATCATAATCCTTGTGGATGTGGGACCATTTCGAAAAACTTAACCAGAGTACTAGTAAAATCGCTCTTTTTGGTCCAGAAACACATTATTTTTGAGATGTTATCTATGAATCCTTTAAAATCAGCTGATTAGTTCAATTTTACATTTCTACTTTCTTAGGGGGGGGTGGGACTTAAAGAGGGGACTGGCCACAGGGGCACCAAACGCTACGTAAGGCCATTTATTGATCGGTGGTTAAGTGATAGGCCTGTCAAAGTATTTATAATTTTGTAAGGGTACCCTTCACCATACACACACACACACAAGTGAAAGTGTACTGTAAAATGCACCAATGAACAGCACCATCTTGTGATTAGATATGATCATATGGGTGACTAACATAAATAGTCCTCTGAAAATAATCAGCAAATCACAATTCAGAACTAAAAACGGTATCTTTTCTGTTCCGTCATGTCAGTACATCTATTACAGCAAAAGTGCGATCATGCTTATTGTAGATAAAGCCATTTCACACGAGTTGAAATTTGTCCGAGCTCTATCTATTAAGTTGATCATTGATGGGGATTTTCAATTCGACTCTTGCCATGAGGATTATGCAAATTGATTAAATTTCGTCGCTTGTGCCACGTTTCATGTTATTCAGATCATGTTATATATATATATATTATTAGTCAGCCACAACTATCAGTAAAACAACGCCTTGACTTGTAGGGTGAGAATCCCTGCCACGTTTTTGGTCAGTTTTGCCGGGGCTCTTTCCTCGAGGGAGCATTAGTGTCTACAGAAAAACTGACAAGTCCAATCCGAACCACATCTTCCATCAGAGGTGGTGCTGGGTCTGCTGGTTACTGAACGGATTGGCCTGGAGAAAGGCATAGTCCTGTTATTCTTAAGTTAACCACAGAGGGGGTCAGGCGCTGTTCGCTCACGGCTGGTTCTTGGAGCCAACACCCTCAACCCCACAGAAGTGGGAGCACTGTCGGTGGTGGCTCACCCAGATAAAGGACAGTGTCTCTCCAGTCTCATTTCCAGGCGAACCCACCCCCACTCACTCACTCACTCACACGCCGCCCCCCGGGCCGCTCCAGCTAGTGGATATCTAGCAATTAGTTATTTTCCAGCTAGTGGATATCTAGCACTTACTCCTTTTCCAGCTAGTGGATAATTAGCACCCAGAAAAACTCCGGTAAACGGAAGCAACACGAACACACATACAAAGAAAAGTCACACGCGGCCCAAAATTTCAAATTAAACAAAAAAAGGGTCTTCACAAAACACAAATTTGCTTGGTAGCTTCTTATTGTCAACATTATACCACGCGCGTCGCAAATAAAAGAAATCATAGATTTGGGCAAGAGATACTAGATGCTCAGGTATGCCCGGTAGGTTCCTGTCTGCTCACTAGAAAAGACAGGGGGCAGCCTGTTCTAAAAGAGCGCCCGGGAGATCACCTAGGCATGGGTGGTGCTCTCCCGAGACCGAGCATTATGACAGTTTTCCTTTGGGAAAACGTCGCTCACAAGGCTTTATCCTCCGGAGGGTAAGGAGCACTAGCCCATGCCAAGTGCCCGTACCCTGTGACACCTTAATGTTTATAGAGACATGAAATGGTTACCACTCCATCTTAGACGACAACTCCATCTGTCAAATTATATGTTTAGAATCATCCATGACAATTGTCCTACAAACTTTATGAACAAATTTAGTTACATATCAGGAGGTAGTAGGAGCGGCGAAAGCTGCAACCTATATGTTAATAGATCAACATCACATAAAAACTTTCAATACTTGGGGGCAAAATGTTGGAATAATGTTCCAACAGATCTACGAAATCTGCCCGATGTTAAAAGCTTTAGTGATTCGTATAAGAAACAGCTACTCTCATCTATAACAACAGACCCTAATTATACCGTCGACAATTCATATGACAAATTTTACACTGCAATCATAGTCGACGATAACTAAGTATCTTCTATTTCTTTTAAATCTGAGGCATATATAATTGAAGTGTCGAAAGGATATTCCCTTTTTTACCACCTTACCATTCTGATTGATTCTGCACATGACTGACATGTTTTAACTGGTGAAGGGGTTCGCACAGTGGTAGTTTTATAAACCACTTTTAATTTATTGACCTATTATACCTAGTGGTAGTTTTACAGACCACATTTAATTTATTAACTTATTATACTTAGTATTTATTTTTGGTGACTGTATCACCCAGTACAGTTTTAACATTTGATAATTGTACAGTTTATTGACGACACATTGACCGAATGTTATTTTATATTCTAATTTATATACTAGATATTTTATTTATTTTCCAACAGACGACAACTTCCTGTTTTTTTTTTCCTTCTATATTAGTTACTCATATCTCTTGTACAGACTGTTCTACAAGGACATTGACAGATGATACTCATATTAGGCATTCATTATTGCATCTAAATTATTTCACTTGCATTAGGTTTAGAAATTTATTCTCTGGTTAACAGATTTCAAATGTTTAATTAATTTGTAGTATGACAGTATATAAGAAGTTATTTAATTTTGCTTGGGCTGTTGTGTTGACTGTTGGGGTTTAGTGGTGGTATGGAATTTGAATTTTATATAAATTTACACTATGAGGTTGGGGCATTTTGCATAGTAAATATGGTTACTACTCCTATATATCATATTATTTGATTGGTATTCGATTTCTGATTATTTCCCTAGGAATATGATTATTATATCTCAATTTGGCTTTAGGTAGGGTGCCCCGCTAAAAAAACTGGATTCTTCCAGGAAGCATCCCGTGCACAGAGCTTGGTCTACATATATGTTAAATTATTAACCATTCATTCTGTATGTGCACGAAAATTTATTTCAATCAAAAAAAACCTACAACCGGAAGGACCCCAATAGACGTTAGTCACCAGACGGACGTAGCCTTCCGATAGGGAGGTAAAGTGGGTGCCCCAACCCAAAAAAAACGCCTTGACTTCAAATGTCGGTAAAATTTACCTTTACAGTCATCCTCAATAAATGTAACAGATTTGTAGTGTTGTAATTAGTTTATATATATATATGTTTAATTTCTGTTTAATTTCTGTTTAATTCCTATATATTTATATACATACATATAAATAATGTAAAAGTCACATGGCCAGCACAAACATTTCGGATATTGCATATTGAGGGTCAGCAGTGCTGTGTTTGCTGCACTTTTGTCTTTAATACTAGCCAATTATTGTCCCCACGTCTCACATTCAAGAAAAAAGCTTAAATTTTAATTATGTAACATAAAAATCCAAACAGTGTCACTTACGATTGCCATTGACGGATGTTACTGTACTCGTCTAAATTTCTTCGAAGTAGCGCGCGCCGGGCCAGACCATTAACAATGGTCAAGATTGCCATAATTCATGTCAACTATTTTAAGCAACACCAAAAGCGCTCGATTTGCACAATGAAAGCACGTTGCGTTTAATTTATGTCATAAAATCTGCGCGGCGCACAGCAAAAAGTATAAGTTATGAATATGGAATAATAAAACCTAACCGTTAAAAAAAATTGTATTTTCTGAGCCAATAGACCGGAATAAATTTTTTTAAATCCGAAGCAAAACCTAAACCTATATTTTTTATTCATTTTCCAAAAGGTTAACGGGTGATACTCGTAAAATATCTGTTTCGTATATTGACCGTCGACGAGTCCAACTCGGCTCGCGTTCTGGTAGGTTGTAAACCTACAACCAAAAGCTCAAAAGGTTTATAGCGCGATGCACCACTGGGCCGCACCGCGCAACAAATAATTTTTTCGCAACCACTTGTAGGTTTACAACCTACCAGGACGCGCGCCGAGTTGGACTCGTCGACGGTAATATATGTCAAATCAAATCAAATCAACAAATATTTTACGAGTATCACCCGTAAAGCAACCACTTCAGTTGTCAGTTTGACCATTGTTAATGGTCTGGTCCGGCGCGCGCTACTTCATAGCACGTGCCATCGGGCCATTCCGAAGAAATTAAGACGAGTAACATTCATCAATTGTCAGTATATTGGCAAAATGCACCATTGGGCGGCCTCGCCAAACTGCGAAAGATTGACATCGTGAATCAACATTCAACTCAAAGGTGTGCTCACGGGTTTAGCATTGCCGGGAATTAAGATGAGCGTTTCCGCGTCCGATTTCAAATAAAATTTCATCGAGATCATCAAATTTTTGAGTGTTTACAAATTGTTGAGAAATTTAGAAAGTCTAAGAAGTATAGAGAAGAAAATTTCATTGTCATCGGATAGGCCATGGCATACTTCGTTGTATTATTATATGGGGGGCAATCAAAATTAAAGTAGAATAAATCAGCCTTCTGATCAGGGGCTGTGTGGATATGATGTGATGTGCGTGGTGCGCGCGCAAGTCAATGTGGCTGTTCACCACACTTTTAGTGGTGTACGTTTATTCAGTCCGCGCGCTCCATTAATACAATATGTAGACTCATGCACGCGTTTTGTCACATCCCACATGTATACTATATACAGCCATTTTATATTATATTGGTACTTACTACTTTGTACAAGCACATTTATATTGGACGACATCCATTTTACTAGTGCTAGATAAAACTTGAGGTTAAAGAGTAACAACCGACAAATAAAACGATTAATATTATTGGCTCTATTTCAATCGAACTTTAGAGTAAAACTAGCAACACTGTGGAAACAAGCAAAATTGTAAGATTAAAATTAATCCGATTTATAAGATGCAACATTCGGCTTTACAGACTGATTATTCTCATTACTTTGAGTGCACACCAAAACAGATTGCATAAAAAGTCCCTGACCCAATTCAAAAGTCACCAAAGTTGAAGGGTCACTCAAAGTTTTAAAACAGGTCAATTCAATCAAAAGTGATTGCCTGAGGTGCGTAAACCCTACTCAATAATCCTAAATATTCCAATCCCTTTAAAGTGGAACTGAAATCGGCTACCTTGCAGTTTAAGCAGAAATGGACATTTCGTCGTTATCTATATATTTAGATTTTAACCCATTTTCCACCGCATTTTACCAAGTCATAATATTCAGTTGTCAAGTGCTTAAAAGCACTGTTTACAATTCCAAAATTTAAAAATGGTAAATTTGACTGTAAAAAGTTATATACCAATTAACAGCTATATTATAATAATCATTTAATTATTCAAGTAAATAAAAAAATAAATTCGCAATCAAATTATATAGCCCTTATAAACCCCGAAACGTTTATCAAACAAGCAAATGCCATCAATATTCAATATCATTACTATTAAAGCAAATATAACGTAGTTAAAATCAGCAAATCCTATGTCACCCTATACTTCCTATATAGTTCACTGATAAAAGAATCTAAGATGAAGATAAATAAAATACGCTGCGAATTAAGTTACCTTATTTTGTTGCTTGATACCATCAGGTCGATTGTTTGCCTAAATTGTAAAGCTGAACATTAAACAAAATAATAATATGTACATAAATGTATACTGTATAGGGTATTGTATGTAGTAATACATTTTAACTATTACTCCAACACTGTAGAGCAATAGTTTTAATAGAAGCTGAGCGATGGCAATAGAGCACAGCTAAAAGTGAACTTAACCAATAAAAGTGAACTTAACCACTAAAAGTGAATTGTTTTCCTGATTAAATTACTACTTTGCGAGATAAAATATAACACCTACGAAACATCAGTCTTGATGTTCAACTGTCATGACTATTATAATATGTAAAAATGGCATGCTTTAATTATCTTACAGAGTCATTTACTTATAATTGAGTTACTATTATTACTATTCTATTAAATCATGTACTTTAAATTATTTTTGATGGTTTATTAATCACACAAGTTAAACTGAAATATACAGGAGAGATCTTCCCAATCATCGGAAATAAAACGACAACCCATTAACCAATAAGCTAATTAACAGAAGTTCAAATCACCTGCTAATTGGATAATTAACTAATTAATTGCTGATTAGAGGCGGATTGTTGATTGACATGGATCGACTTTTGATACGTTTCTGGATTCGCTTTGAGAGCTGCTGCTGTAGGACACTACAGAGGTCTGATTTTTCGAGCAGATTTCTGAAATTAGGGTTAAAATATTAATAAATTAATTAAATTAGGGTTAAAAATAATCAAATATTGGTTAATAAATTTGAGATTTCAATTGTTTGTCTTGCGCCATATCATATGAAATAAAATGAGGTATTATATCCCGTTCATATGATTAACCAACAACACAAGGAAGGTGGTTAACCATGTCAGAGCGGCTGACTGTGAGTGATGCGAGCGAATGTGTGAATGTGAACAAAAGTATAACTCAATATGAGACACAGACAAAATAAAAACAGATACAGATATATAATATATAATAGTAAGTAACAAATGTTAAGACTGCAGTCATAAATAAGCTTTAAAATAATACAAACACAACAAATTCCTTACGCGAAATCTTCTTTTTTTATGAGCTCAGGAAGAAAGCCCAGGAAGAAATGAAGGCAAGAGTGAACGAGGTCATGTGCGGTGTATAACTGAAATATAAAATATTTATTAATTAAATTAATTCAATATCTTTTGAAGTTTTTCTTAAGGCAATATTATAAGCATGATATCTTTTTTAAATGTATAAAGGCAGTATAATATAATAACGCAGTTTAGTCATTTGATAATTCAATAGCGCAGTTTAGTAATTTAAAACCTCGCTCAGTAAGGTTTTAAATTACTGTTGAGTAATACTTACACAAAAAATAACCAAAAATCACGTACCTTAGCTTTCTGATAAACAGTTATAACGTTGTCTTTAGTAATAGATCCGGCTGCTAAACTCTCGCAATAAAACTGTAGTTCGTCGAGCATGAAGAAGTGCGCCGCGCTTAACACCTGATACAGGTGGTGAAATGTGAGTCAATTTGAGTGTGAGGAAGTTATAAAATGTGTATAGCAGGAGCAGTGTGATAAAGAGAGGGGGGATAGTTTGTAAAATGACATTATTTTAGATATTTTATTCCAACTTCAATCAGTTTCCTTCACTCGTTCGTAAGTAATAAAGTAATAAGAAAGAAGTTCTACAAAAGAGTCTCATAATTGAGTGCGAGGTAGCTTCGGCAAGGTTTCGTTCTGCTAGCTATACAGTATACAGTATATATTATACAGTGTACAGTATACAGTGTACGGTATACATTATACAGTGTACAGTATACATTATACAGTGTACAGTATACAGTGTACGGTATACATTATACAGTGTACAGTATACATTGTACAGTGTACAGTATACAGTGTACGGTATACATTATACAGTGTACAGTATACATTATACAGTGTACATTATACATTCGAAGAAATAAGGAAAGCGGTGTTTAGATATGAATAGCAGCAAATAACAGAGTTTTCCGGTGATAAACCAGATGTATTTAACTTAGACATGGGAGAATTTATTCTATATCACATAGTGTAGAGCAGTAATTAGGTGAATATGCCGGATATGAGTTTAAATCTAAAGCTAAAACTAAAGGTAAAGTTACAAAAGTTACAAAAGTTACAAAAGTTACAAAAGTTACAAAAGTTACAAAAGTTACAAAAGTTACAAAAGTTACAAAAGTTACTTACATCAAGTACTATGCTGCTCTTTATATCCACACAGTTAACTGATCCAGCGTACAGGTACTTGATAATTATCTGTGGTGAGAAAGTACACTGTTAACAGAATAACAAGACTAAATAGGGATATTGCAAACTTGAAATCAATAAACTACAGGGAAAAAGACACTTTCTCTCCCTTTTGAATGATGGAACTGTAACTAAACGGAATGTGTGTAATATAACTAACCTCAAATATGCTGTATTTAATATCAGGAATCTCCACCACAGCACTTGTTCCCTCTACAAAGTGCTTTGAGAGCATAGCGTTGAACCGTTCACTTCCTGTAAAGAGTAAAAGTGAAACTACTAAAGTGAAAGTGAAACTAATACAGTTGAAAGTAGATTAGGGAGTACAGTGAAACTGCTAGATATGAGGGAACCCCATCATTACCCTGACTCACTAAATTAATTGTCAAGACTTACAAAATAAAAGGGTTGAATAGTCCCTCCTTTCTTTCAGTAGTCATGAATAGTACTAATATAACATCAAGAATATTTGAATAAATGAACTTACCGGTGACGATGACTATTTTGTGAGCGTAGAACATTTTGTCTTCTACCAGAAATGTGACGTCACTAAACTCCTTGTTGTTTACGTAAGTTAAATCTGTAATTATTTTCTTTGTCAATTTGTTGGGTAACGAGAAATCAATCAATTATTAAATCAACTAATTTAGTAATAATTGATCTAATAATTATTATACTGATTGATCATATATTTATTTAACTAATTTATCAGATAATTAATTAATAACAGACCTATCCTTGGTTCAGGAGCAGCATGCTGACTGAAGTTAGTAATAGGTTTCCACTGAAACACGCCGTAACAATGTTGTAACATCTTACATGCCGACATGACCACGTCCTCCTCCTGCAAGTACATGTACAGTTTACACTCAGTATACATTGTATACACTCAGTGTACATTTTATACACTCAGTGTACATTTTATACACTCAGTGTACATTTTATACACTCAGTGTACATTTCATACACTCAGGGTACATTTTACATTCAGTGTACATTTTACACTGCAGAACACATTTCTACGCACTACAATTAATGTGGAATCACCGCGTTGTAAGATTACAGTATGGATAAGAATTCCGTTGAATGTTCTAGAATTCTTACACGCGTGTTAATTCATACACATTATTATATATAAGCCATTCAATTACATTCTTTCGCTGGCTTCAAATATGCTCAAATAGTTTGGTCGGTTCCTAGGGAGTAATTTTATGATTAGTATACATTTTGTACTGTCTGGTATTTGTAGTATATAAGATGTCTGTTGATCATTTAAATGCAAAATTATAAGTTAAAATAGATAAATAATTATTATTGGACAACTTTATTTCTCAGTGCCGTCCACTGTTATTCAGCATTCCAGGTATTTGGAAGCTCCAAATTTCATTAGGGTTTGTTAATGAAAGGGAAAGTGAAACACTAGAGAAGAAAGTAGAATAGAAAGTGAAAGTGAATGAACTAGAAGAATTGTTACATCTCAATGCCGTCCACTGTAATTCAACATGACAGAATCCCAGGTAGGAGGAGGAATTCCAGGTATTTTGAAGCTCCAAAATGTCGTGATAGTTTGTATTTAGGTCCTTAGTATGAGCATATCATTTAGTTTGTCATATAAATGCTGCAAATATTTTGCATAATACGAACCCAAAAAACTCCTGCAAAAATATGTCGTACGAACCCGGCTTGTTGACTCTTTTATTTATAAGACTGGATAGCAATTTGAATGAGTGGTTACGTACAATTATTTTTCTTGTTTAAAAACAGGTATTGCTGGTTGTAATGATCAGGAAAATGTAGTGCAATTGTCTGGACGATACTAATTGGCAATCAGCCAACATGTCAGCATATCATTAAACATGTCTTATTGAAATGGGATCAATATCAAAATAATATATTTCTATAAAATATATTAGCATTAGTCGTCAAACTTAAAAATTAGGCAGAAAATAACATAATGTGCGTGGAAATTTTACAGAGAATTCAGAATTTTACACAAAGATTCAGATAGGAGAATTAATTGTACTGTTGGGAACAGTGACGGTACCAAATAATGACGGGGACAAGGGAAAATAATATTACACATTTAGAGCATAAAAATAGAGAAGTAATTTTCAATTTATCAATTAACCCATTACAGTTTTAGACTCTTCTGCTGTACTTGGCAAAAGAACAGCCGCAAACTGGGTCTGCAGGGCAAAATTCCCGACTAGAATTCCGACGGCATAACTATTGATTATGACATGGTTGTGATATTATTATGCCGCCGGGATTCTAGTCTATGACCTATTTTCCTAAATTAATTCTGATGTGATCTGATTGTTACAAACCTTTGAATGCTGGAAAATTTCAAACAGCAGAACGATGCCGTCTTTACAGAAGGCGTTAGAAAACTCATCTACACGGAGGCAGTCGTAATCGTTAAGAAGATACCGGACTATCTCCAGGTTTTCTTCTTCGTACGCTGTCTCCAGACATCTAGGGGAGTGTGGTTAGTGAAAGTGAATCTAAGGAAGTATGGTTAGTGAAAGTGAATCTAGGGGGAGTGTGGTTAGTGAAAGTGAATCTTAGGGGAAGTGTGGTTAGTGAAAGGGAATCAGGGGAAGTGTGGTTAGTGAAAGGGAATCTTAGGGGAAGTGTGGTTAGTGAAAGGGAATCTAGGGGAAGTATGGTTAGTGAAAGGGAATCTAGGGGAAGTGTGGTTAGTGAAAGTGAATCTTAGGGGAGGTGTGTTTAGTGAAAGGGAATCTTAGGGGAGGTGTCAGATGTGGTTAGTGAAAGTGAATCTTAGGGGAAGTGTGGTTAGTGAAAGGGAATCTTAGGGGAAGTGTGGTTAGTGAAAGGGAATCTAGGGGAAGTGTGGTTAGTGAAAGGGAATCTAGGGGAAGTGTGGTTAGTGAAAGTGAATCTTAGGGTAGGTGTGGGCAGTGAAAGTGAATATAGGGGAAGTGTGGTTAGTGAAAGTGAATCTTAGGGGAGGTGTGGGCAGTGAAAGTGAATCTAGGGGAAGTGTGGCTAGTGAAAGTGAATCTAGGGGAAGTGTGGTTAGTGAAAGGGAATCTTTAGTTAAAAACGTTCAGAAAAATGAAAGTGAAAATAAAGTTAAACACAAAATTAGTCACCTAGTCCAGAAGTTAAGGTTCCACATGACCCCAATAGACCTCAGCTCTAGAGCAATGTTAAGATAACCATGCTCACACGCCAGATACAGAGCTTCTTGTAGCTTACGAAGACGGGACAGTCTGATACCGTGAGCTCGATTGTTCTGGAACAGATATCCTGCGCAAAATAGGTTAATTAGTTAATTAAATAGGTGCGGGTAAGATTCAGAGAAAATCTTGCCGTTCTTGCCTTTCTGACCTCAAGAAAAATAAATTCTCCAAAATCTTAAAAAGTAAAGATGAAATTAAACAAAAAGTGAAAGTAAGCCACGAACCCTCGGCGAGAATCTCCTGCAAACTGAGCATGTCGTTACTTTTAACACTGGGCTGGTGTTGCAGTAACTTGTGCCGCACCTCCACGTGACCGTGTGCTACTGCCAGTGCTATTGCGTTACTTCCACCCCTGTTCCGAGGTGCTGGGGGAGGTGGAGTTACTACGGTTACTACGGTTACTACGGTTACTCAAATGTGAGATAACCTTATCATACCATTTATAGAATTTGAAAACCAATTTTATAATATGCAGTTAAAAGACGTGTTAATACCATTTAATTAATTTACTTAAAAACAGTTTAAGAAATTGAAGGACAGGTAAGATGCTCTTACTTGAACCACTGCTATGTATAGAGCTGCTTAGAAAGGGGTCAGCTCCCTTTTCCAACAGCAACTCCACGATGGCAATGTCTCCAGCTGCCGCAGCTAGTTGGAGAGGTGTCTCAGTTGTAATGTCGGCGGGGTTGTTCATACTTCCTTCCACTGCTGCCCCACGTGACAGTAACAGCTGGGGAGTGGTGTTAACTGTTAAGTGAAGGCGAAGTTTTTCCAACGCGAAATTATACAGATTTTTGAATCTGATAGGACTAATTAAATAATAAATTCTATTTAATTCTATTTTCATCCATTCTAAATTGCAATCTTGAGATAAATACCTTTACTATATCAGTGTGACCCTGGTTAACAGAGAACGATAACGCTGTCCACCTTCTGTTCTCCATTGGAATAACCTGGGATTAAACGAAGTTAAATCAGAAAATCGGCAAATCTGAACGTTAATTATAAATTCACGCGATGAACTCCACAACCGAATCTAAGAGGACTAAGAGGACTAAATACACAATATAAAGTTGCTATGTTTCTAACTTATCAGTTAAAGTTTTAAATAAACCTGAGTGTTATCCAAAGGAACAGGAACTGCTATGTTGGGGTGCGCGTCTGCGTCTAGCAGTAAGTGAACCAGGTTGTAGTCCCCTGCATTAGCAGCGCACATCAATGGGGTCATTCCCTGACAAAAGTGGGGTCAATATCAGTGGGGTCATTCCCTGACAAAAGTGGGGTCAATATCAGTGGGGTCATTCCCTGACAAAAGTGGGGTCAAAATCAGAGGGGTAATTCCCTGACAAAAATGGGGTCAATATCAGAGGGGTCATTCTCTGACAAAAGTGGGGGGGGGGTAGATATGAGAGTTGATACTATACCGTCAGGGCCGATAGTTACCTAGTAATTATGAGGGTTGATGCTGTCAGGCCCGTTAGTTACCTGGTAATTATGAGAGTTGATGCTGTCAGGCCCGTTAGTTACCTGGTAAATGTGAGAGTTGATGCCGTCAGGCCCGTTAGTTACCTGGTAAATATGAGAGTTGATGCTGTCAGGCCCGTTAGTTACCTGGTAATTATGAGGGTTGATGCTGTCAGGCCCGTTAGTTACCTGGTAAATGTGAGAGTTGATGCCGTCAGGCCCGTTAGTTACCTGGTAAATGTGAGAGTTGATGCCGTCAGGCCCGTTAGTTACCTGGTAAATGTGAGAGTTGATGCCGTCAGGCCCGTTAGTTACCTGGTAAATATGAGAGTTGATGCCGTCAGGCCCGTTAGTTACCTGGTAAATATGAGAGTTGATGCCGTCAGGCCCGTTAGTTACCTGGTAAATATGAGAGTTGATGCCGTCAGGCCCGTTAGTTACCTGGTAAATATGAGAGTTGATGCTGTCAGGCCCGTTAGTTACCTGGTAAATATGAGAGTTGATGCTGTCAGGCCCGTTAGTTACCTGAGTACATTCCCCTACTTATATGTATACACTTTCTAGTAATTATTATTATGACAGTGCGTTATATGTAAGACTTAGTCATGTACCTGTACGTTACAGAGTGTGGATGTTAGTACTAGGTATGTATCTTTTATTCGTAAGTCAAGTGAATATTTCCTGTTGAGCGAATACACGTGCGAACACGTATATAATACTGAGCTGCCATACCTTCAACTGTGCTTATTCAGTGCCTGGGATTGGTATACGTTCTGATAATAATGTATATAATATGGTTCACAGCTCACTTCCCTGTAAAACCGGAATTAGAGAGTTGAGCTGTCACACCTTGTTTAAACAACTGTTAGTATTAAAGTATGTACAGTATTTCAGCCTTAGTATACACCAGTGTAATGTGGGTGATTTAACCGCCGCCGACACTGGTCACTCTAGTCACTACTAATACTGTGTAATATGATGTCATAGTAGCGTCATAGTTACGTAAACACTTACATATATACTGTCGTTCAGGCCGTTAGTTACCTGGTAAATATGAGAGTTGATGCCGTCAGGGCCGATGGCGGAGAGTGCCTGTCTGATGGAGTCGTTTCTGCCACATGTGAGTAGTTTAAAGGGGAGGGAGTTGAAGCTGGAGGCGTAGTTTAGCTTGTGAGACAGACAGAGTGGGTCTTCTAGTCTGAGGATTAGGTTAAGTTAGCCTCTGTGATCTAGAGTACATTGTACAATGTACTCAGTACATTCCCCCTACATTTTATATGATATACACTTTCTAGTATTCTATATTATTATACAGTGCTGTATATATGTTATAGACTATAGTACATTGTACATGTTACTGTTACAGAGTGTGGTATGTTAAAGTAACCTAGGGCTATGTATCTTTTATTCGTAAGTCAAAAGATGAAATCTTTCTCTGTAGAGCGGAAACTCCACGTGACGGACACACGATATGATAATACTGAGCTGCCATCACCTTCAACTGGTAGCTTATTACCAGTGCACTGAGGATTGGTATCGTTCTATAACAATAAAATGTATATAATATGGTTCACAGCTTCACTTCCCCCTGTAAAACCAGAAAGTAAGTAAGTTGGCGGGTCACACTCCTCTGTGTTAAACTAACTATTTGTATTACAGTAATTGTACAGTATATAATACACTCTACAGTATACACTACAGTGTAACTGGTGGTGATTTAATACGCCTTCCAGACACTAGTAACTCTAGAAACTACTAATACTGTGTAATATGACGTCATAGTATTACGTCATTGTAATATGACGTCATAGTATTACGTCATACGTTACGTTAAACACTACACTATACTTACTGTGTGCGTTACAAGTTGTTAAACTGATAAGCTAATGGTGGGAGGTGAAGCATGAATCTTGAAGAAAATTGACGATCTTAGTAATAGTTAAATCCACGAAGCTTATATTTGAGATTTGAGAGGTTACACTGCGGTGTATATTATATAATGAATTTTATAAAGCTATTAACTTTGAAAAACAGTACCAGATGTTGATACCTAATTATAAAATCCGTGTAACATATTTGTATATAATAAGCAGATAATATTATCTGAGTTGAGTCATATGACTGCGACTGTGTAAATAGTTTGTTAGTATATAACTCGTGATGTTCGCTCATGTTTAATGAGAAAAAAAAAACTCTTTTAACAATGTCAACAACTTCTCGCTACTCATTAAGATGATTTCCCATAGTTTATAATTCTCCTCTCAAGAAACATCATAGCTTTACAATCGTCTTAAGAACTTTCAAAGATCATAATAAGAAGTGACAAGATTCCCAGTAGCTTATAAAACGAATTATGTGACAACGTACCACTATAAATGTTATGCTTCCAGAGTTCTAAAATGCAGCTCGCTCGCACTGAACTCAACATAATTACCACAAATCCGATCAAAATTTCGCTCGCAAATCTTTGCATGTGCACGTGCGCGTTCCAACACCGTTGCTATGCAACCTTTTGATTTTTACCTAACTTCCTATTTCTCTGCTAAATACAAACTCTTCGTATCACTTATATGTTTTAAATAATCCCCCTCCAGGTTCCTATTTCTCGTCTAATTTGCAAGTGGGCGGTCGTACATGCAAAGAGAATCTATCATTTCATTTTATATAGTAGATACATCCAAAAGTTATTATGATAAAACATCTAGAAAGTTCCTCCCAAAGTGTATATTATGATCCTAGCGAGCATATGATGTTAGCTGTATATTATACATCAGTGTTTATTCAGAGCAAGAAGACCAGGTAGTACACCAGATAAGATAGTACAATACTACTAGTACTACTAGTACAGTACACACCCTCTTTACTTATGTAACACCTTCTTATATAACGTCACCAGGCATGTAGCTAGTAGACACTGGTTACTAGACAGATCATATTATGTACATTATGTACATTGTATATTGTATAATGTACATTACATAATATTAATTATGTTGTATACTACCCGTATCATGTTATCTTACTTGTACAGTTAGCTAGATTTAGCCCCCACCCCCCCCCCCCCCCCCCCCCTAATCTGTTTAAGTAACATAAAACATGATAAAGTCATCACTTTATCTCAGCTACAACTCGGTGAGATCATCTATTGCACAAACTGATACCTGAGCTTGTGATCTAGTGCCTGAATGACGTACCATCACATACATGATCTAGTGGTTACGATTCTGTGTCATGGTTTAAATGTCCTTATATGGTAGTATTACCTTATATGGTGATATTGTAGCCAATAGATTGAGCTATGATCAATGTCTAAGTACTAATGAATTGTTGAGTTGTCATAGTAACGCAAAGTATTGATCAGTTATCACTTTATCACATGATTACTAAAGATGATGGAACTATTCAGTATTCGTGTTAGCAATGTATAATCCAACAACCAAAAATATTTATTTTGACACGTAGATCTCACGCGTCAAAACAAATTAATGTCGTTAAATGGCAGACAAGGATCAAAAGGGACTGGGATTATTCTGGGATTGTAATAATAATAGATATTTACTACAAATAAATATCATACCCGTATCTGCGTGGAGGGTAGTCAATACCAAGTAGGAATTTAGCAGCTTGAGAGATATCATCCTCATCTATAAGTTCACTAAGATGGTGAGCAGCGTATATCCCTGCTACTCTGATCCACTCTCTAATACTGATCTGATTACACGCTCTGTTCCTGTAACACGTGGGGGAGTTAGTGACGTAATACATGACGTCCTACGCTTCATGACGTCATCGCCGATATAGGTGGTTGTATAAATCTGGTACTAAGGGACTGTGACGGATTGAACATTGATTTTCTGTTTTTGATTTCTCATCTATATTATGAATCCTAGCCTAAATTTGTGGCTCCTTGATGATCGACACTTTAGTGTTATTCTATTGCAGGTAAGATATTCAATCACGATTACCTAAAAATAATCATTTGAAAATTCTATCGCTATTTCTAAAGGAATACTTTTGAGAGCTGAATTTCGAGTATATTCTTTAAACCGAAATTGCTGACAATACTACATATTTTAAACTGTGACAAGAAAGTAACGTACTCATGAATGTCTGGTTAGGTAGTAGAGCGAGAATGAAGCGTTGTTGCTCCAACTGAGGGTTGTGTAACATTGCCGTGTGTTCTTCTGTACGTCTAAAGTGGGATTAGTGGCGGTTTTAAATATTGGTCTAAATGTGTTGTTATTTCTCCATTTTAAAATTCATTAAATTTGAAAAAATTCCATATTTATTGGCAAGATGAGGCTTGCACCTTGTGTACACGATTTCATTGCAATTAAAAAGAGCGTTAGATTTTTTGTTAAGTTGTAAGTAACCACGTGACGTCATTACAATATCAAGTTACGTCATTACAATATCAAGTGACATACCTGTAGCTGATGGTGGCTGTAAGTGTTGTTGGCTTGGAACTAATTCTCTAGTACTGATAGTGTTGTACCACACAAACTAAACAAAACGTGTCACATAATATGAACTAAAATGTAACGAAAGCGGACAAGAATGTAACGTTTTAAATTAATGAGTTATAATAACTCACATCCCACTGTCACATTGTGAGCATGCAGAGGTTTGAAGTACCTTACTACATTCTTCAAATTGTGAATAGCATATTATATCATCATATTATTTATAATGTCGATATATTATGTGTCAGATACAGTGCATCTAATATGGCTTGATAACTATTAAATAATTTCACGGCAAAATCAGTGATAATGTAAGATTACCACAGTAGAGTATTTTTTGAGAATTGGTGAATCTGAGAATTTTACCATTTTCGCCGGGAATACTCACAAATTATTTTTGAATCTGATAATCAATTGGAATGTGAATTGTATCTACGAATGAACACGGAAATTGGCAAGTTGTCAAGTTTGCAAAAAGAGAAGATAGGAATTAGTAAGATCGGACAGTGACAGATAACACTATTAGAGTACTCATATTACTTTTAAATTTCTGACTGCGCTGTGATTATAGAGCCATCATTAGAAACTAATGAAGTTATCACGAGCCACAAAATAATATAGCTTCTCCACTCTTCAGGGGTTATATTGGGATTCCTGGGGGCTTTTTCGGTATGCGCTCTGGATTATTCTTACAAGCTGAAGTTCCCTCGCCTGCATAATGAGAAATTATGACATCATAACAAAGTGATGACGTCATCAGAGGTGATGACGTCATCAGAAGTGATGACGTTATCAGAAGCAGGTGCACAGACCAGTCCATGTTCACGTTATACAAGCAGGTGCGGAGTTGGGCGTTGTGCTGTAACTACACTCTAGACTTCTTAACTCTTTAACTAACAGACAAATATACTTGGCGTACCCAGGGGTGACTTGATGTCCGTGCAGTGCTCACATCCACAGTCCTCAAAGTATTCTGTCATGTCCAGCGCTCCCAGAGAATCCTGAAATGTGGAAATTAGAAATTTAAAGGGAAACAATTCTTAACGTGATTTGTTCTTATAACTTAATAAAGTAACCTGCTTTCTATTATTTTACACATTTAAAGATACTCAGATAGTACCTTAAGTACGTGTTTTTAACACTAAAAAAATGTCAAGGAAAGTGTCAGAACTTAACGACAACTTATGCAACTGATGATGACGTCACAGATATGACGTAACTACAGGAAACTTAGTGATAAGTCTAAACTTTGTAAGTCTTTGATATGATGCATGGATGGATATTATGCACATATATACAGTATAGATAATGTTATTATTTTGTTGTGATCACAAGGGTGATATTTGATTGTGGGTTTTATAACGGTGTATGACGAAAAGGAGAGTAAAATTAATACGTGCCAACTACATTTCTGGATAGTAAAGGCCCTTTTGCTGACTCAGTTCGAAAATTGTTAAATTTTGGCAAAATTATCCTTTTTTCCCGTGACAGATGTTTTTGAAGGTGTACGAATAACCGTTATTTTAACATCTCATTCGTGAGCAATGTAAGTCACCATGAAAAGACCGAAGTTAAGCTAAGGGAATTAAAAAAGACCCGAAATTTGTTTATTTCTTTGTATTCCTATATTATATCCCTTTAAATAACGTAAAAATAAAGCAAGTTCAATATTTCCAGAAGAGTATAATATTATTGTTGATGACGTCACGACGAAGATCACGTGACAGCCTCAAATTGTCACTGACAGTCACGAATTCCTAAATCCACAAAGCACGTGAGGCGTATTGTAAGTACATATATTGGTACTCAACTGAACTCTACTAGAGTTTATAACTTATGTTAACAATGTATTATTTTATCAAGTACTGAGTTCAGTAACATAATATTATTATGTGTTTAAATAACGAGTATGTGTTTAAATAACGAATAAAAATAGTATGTCACAATCAAATCTGAGCTAGAGGTAAAAGTTAACGGTTAATCTACATTCTACGTACCATTTGAAGTATAAAATAACATAATATTGTGCTAATAACCAACTAATTCTACCAATACATCGGACAGAATGATGAAGACATTATTAGGTAACAAGTTATTATTAACTTGCTAAGTTAATACCAACTTATACTAAGTTAATTTAAAAATAGATATTTGTATATAAATATCCTATTTTAGGAGCAGAGACAGGCAAGTTTAAAAGACACATTTAAAACAGCTGTGTTATCACAGTGTGACGTCACAGTAACGCGTGTAGCTGTTGACATTACCATGGTGGTAGGGTCCAACGTGTCAAGGCTCTTGTTTAACAACATTAATTACTGTCCTTAACAATACCCGGTACTTACTGTGAGGCCCTTAACTCTTAACTAAAGCCCAGTGTTGTAACATCACTGATGTTAGCCTCGAGATGGATCTTGATGTGCCTTCATAACTTTACAAAAGCAAGATGCCCATAAGAAGAACGAGTACAGGTAAAAACCAATGGTATCAAAACTTATATTTGCTGCTGAATAAGACAAAACCCACAACCCTAAAATCAGGTTTATAACTCGATTCAACCCACCTCTGGGGCTGTGTTAGTTACTTTTAAACCCACCTCTAAGTTAGGGCTATCAGGAGGGCCCTGGTTCATCTCCTCCTCCTCCTCCTCCTCACTCCCAATAACAAACTCCACCCCAAATACCCGAGCTAAGTCCTCGTCCTGCTCGATCACCGACTGCAGCACTTCTCTAGTTAACACAAAATCTTGTTTCCCTGAGTGGGGTTAGAGGGTTATAGTCACGTGGGCTGTAGTCACGTGTTAGTCACGTGCTTGTTGAGTATCACGTGATCACGTGATCTTAATGTAGCGCTTAGTATACTGCAGCCTGGTGTCTAGTCTAATTGGGCCAATCAGTTTATTATAGACCATTGACTGTCGAGTGTCGTTATACTACACATCTTTTCTATTCTTATCATACCAGTATTTACTACTACTGTAGTCTGGTGAGTAATTAGCTGCTAATGGGTTCAATTAGACGTTCTAGCTAGGTAATTAGATACTGTTAGTTGTAATTACAGTATTATAATATACTGATAAAGCACTAACTGTAACACTGTGTACAGTTAGAGAGTAGGCAAGTAGCACGCATTCGGCTTATAGCGGAACATAACTGTATTATATATAAATATATAACTCCACTTTTGACCTATTTGGCGGCCATTTATTAATTCCATAATTGCACCGGTATTTGGTAGATTTTTTTCCAGGGGGTGCGATTACAAAACTAATTGCACTGTTTTGAGAGTGACCGAAATCTTATTAGGTACGATTACTAAACTAATTGCACTGATTCCCTGAAAGATGCTGTAAATCATGGCTCAGGCAGACAATTAGAGTTAGAGAGAACACCTCGTAAAATGAGGACCTAATTAAATCCGAGTATTTTACTACTGTGAGGTGCTGACTCAAGTATTGACTTAAATCAACTACCTGAGGTAGTTTGGCGACCGTTAGTGCAATGGTCGCAAGAAATAAATTTATTGGCATGAATTTAAATTTATAGTTTAGGACAACATCTTTCCTTGTGTTTGGAATAAGTCAATCCTTACATTGCATTAACACAACACAGTATGAGGCTGAGATCTCACTAATTATTTGTAAAACAAAAAGTGGCATAACTTATGTTCTGATAAATATTTTTGCTTCTAAATTTCACAGAATGTTAATAACAAGTATCTAAACCTTTGTGGCAAGTTTTGTGTGATTGCGAGCTTCACTGAGCTTATTTGACCAATTTAGCCCCTGAGCGAGCTAGCTTGAATTTCTCACCCAGAACTGTTTACATTGGTTAATAGAAACCACCAAAGCACCAAAAACAATCCTGGGTCACAAAATTAAAAAACCAGCGATTTATTCACGTTTTACCAATTCTATTCACATGGATCCATCGCACATTCCATTCTCTCTATATTTTAACTGATAAGGACTATCACAGATGATCCTTCCTGCTTGTTTATATCGTTCTTCTTACATGGAATGTGCGATGTATCATGGTGAATAGAATTGGTAAAACATAAATAAATCGGTGGTTTTTTAGTTTTTTTACCCAGGATTTTTTTTTGTAGTTTCTATTAACCAATGTAAACAGTTCTGGGTGAGAAATTAAAGCTAGCACACTCAGGAGCTAACTTTGTCAGACAAGCTCAGAATCACACAAAACTTAGCACGAAGTTGTGTCTAATTATGATTGACATTCTCTAAAAATTTGAATCAAAAATATTAATCAGAACGTAAGTTATGGCGCTTTTCCATTCTGAAATAAAATAATTAGTGAGATCTCAGCGAGCTGTTACAATTTTAAGAGATAAGGATGGGTAGACTTTTGAGGCCCGCCCTGTATAACAACAAAGTCGGTGCGATTATAAACTAATTACACTGGTTATAACATCAGAGGCGTGGAGTTATACGTGAATCTAACTGCATGTATAATACGATTACACCAGTTATTGCACTCGGCTGCGCCTCGTGAAATAACTGCAATAATCGAACTCGGCTTCGCCTCGTGCGATTATTGTATCAATTTCCACTCGGCTGCGCCTCGTGCAATTAATAGTGTAATCGCATTATACGCAGTTAGATTAGCGTATGTAATATTATGTATAACAGTATATTATATATAATAATATATAAGGATCAGTGTAGTGCGTATTTGAGTACATTACGTCATACACTGAATGTAGTGCTCACGGTGTGTGCTTATAACCTGTACACAATAATGTGCACTGTCCTATTTTTTAAATCTTAAATCTTATCGAATAAATTAGACTTGGCAGTTAGAACTATAAACATTATACATTATACACTATACAATGTAAATTGTATAGTGTATATATATTATATGGCTATAGATGCCTGATACGTCATGTACGTAAAGTGAGCATGTAAAACGTGTATAACTGTAGTAAGACAAATACTGTACATTTAGCTCAGAGAAAGACAGATAATCTGAACCCAAGCCTCGGTTTTTTCTGAGCCTTTGGTTTGAAGCTGTTAGGATAGACTTAGAGCAGTCAGCATGTTGACTCAACATTGTTCAGTCTCTACCTCGGTAAACATTTTGTGGACACTAAAAGTTGGGTTTCACAGAGTGAACTATGTAAAGTATTATACTTAAAGCTGGAGTTATTTTCGTTAATATTATAATGCTATAATCTATTATTACTAGACAGGAAATTAATACTTTATCCTTTGCACCCGGCCAGATAATATCTAATTAATCTAAAGTATTTAAGCAAAGTTCATAATTAACTTAACTAGTCAACTTAATTTAATAATAAGTGGCTAATGTGCCCTCTGTGTGTAATATGTATACAGTGTTGAATTACTTTAACTGTAAAGTGTACAATGTACATTTGTCATCAGTAGCCAGAATATACACTGTTAGTAAGAGGACTATGTGTGTACATAATACACTATACACAGTATACACTATACACTGTGTACACTGTGTACACTGTGTACACTATACACGGTGTACACTATACACAGCATGCACAGTATACACAGTACATTATAACGCACTAATATTCTATCCTGGTAATCAGACCTTTTCAACGCCTCTTTTCAGACTGTAAGGAAGAATTAGCTGAACTTAATTACAATGTCGGAATTAAAAATCATGCGAAGTGACTTCAAAGCTGAAATAAATGTTGTGCGGAAAATTCTGTTTTTCGGGTTTACGAAACAGTGCGAAGAGATAGTAGCCCGGAAAATGATAAAAAGCTGAACAGGATTTGGCACATTCCTTACTTATGAACCTATAGAAATTGTGGCCAACATTAGATTCATCTGGTCCAACATACAGCCCGTTTTAGCTCCAGGACCTTATTCCTGGATCCCATTTGACAGAATGAGATTTCGCCTACCATCAACCGGCAAAATGTTCTAAACTTGAGAGAATCCTCTGAATTACTAAAACTTGATAGTGACAAGAATACTTGGCCAATAGAATGCAGTTTTACACAATTCCACAGATAACTGTGTTATGTAACTGTGTTATGTAACTGTGTTATGTAACTGTGTTATGTAACTGTGTTATGTAACTGTGTTATGTAGCTCAACTAACCTTCTATAGTTCTATTTTGCGCTCTTCCAACTTAAGAAGTTAGAACTTATTTGCCAATGATATCATAAAATTTGACGTTATCTTCTGATTTTTTTCGTCAATATCTCCAGAGCAGATGCATTATATTGTAAAGAAAAGCAGGTGCAATTAAAGCATCTTACATAACCTGCAGAGAGAGAGATCTCGCTAGTAATTATACCATATTAGGGAAATAGCGGTTACATTGCTCTACCAGTTCTGAGAATCGTGTCCAGTCATATGCAGCTGTACTTTGTAATATCATTACTATCCAGGTCCAGTCATTGGGGAAAAGTGAGTATTCATACTGGCACATACTGGCATAAACTGGTGCATACCGGCAAATACTGGCAAATACCAGCGCACACTGGCGCATACTGGCATAAACTGGTGCATACCGGCAAATACTGGCAAATACCAGCGCACACTGGCGCATACTGGCATAAACTGGTGCATACCGGCAAATACTGGCATAAACTGGTGCATACCGGCAAATACTGGCATAAACTGGTGCATACCGGCAAATACCGGCAAATACTGGTGCATACTGGCATAAACTGGTGCATACCGGCAAATACCGGCAAATACTGGTGCATACCGGCAAATACTGGTGCATACCGGCAAATACCGGCAAATACTGGTGCATACTGGCATAAACTGGACACTGGTGCATACCGGCACAGAAGCTCTATAGTATTATTATAATCCAGCTCCAGTCATAGAAAATAACCAAATAAGAGATAACTTAGAGATGATTGAGTACTGTTCTTGATAAACATGCTCCCCTTATCTGTTTTAGCATTAATCCTGATCAAAGCAAGTGGGTGGACACAAAATGTCAAACTGCCAGAAGGAAACGAAGAAAAGCTGAACGTGACAACAGGAGACTTAAAACTGCAGATTCAAAATTAGACTATAAAAAAGCTGTTAAGCATGCCGAGGCAGTTATAAACACCACTAGACAGCTATACTATGAAAATCGTCTGCAAAGCTGTGAGGACAATAAAAAAGATACCTACAAAATAGTCAATCAGCTGATGGATCGGGACATATCTAAAAACTTGAAGCCTAATAACAAACCTGCTGAAACTCTATGTGAGGAGATGAAAGAGTTTTTCAATGATAAAGTGGAAAAGATTTACTCTGCCATTAACAATGATACTGCAGCTGACATTCTTCTTGACCACTCTGAACCATTTCAAGGTGAAGCCTGGAGCCAATTTGAAACCATAAGCGACAATGATCTCAAAAAGATTCTTTCTGACCTTAACAAAAAAGAATGTGAAGAGGATCCCATCCCTCTAAAACTTCTAATGCAGTGTTTTAATGAAGTTAAACCAATTGTGTCATTTATTATCAATGACTCACTTGTCACTGGAAAATTTCCGTCAGTCCTAAAGAGTGCTCTTGTCAGACCAGCCATCAAAGATGATAAAGGAGATGTCAATAGCTTCAACAACTATAGACCGATTAGTAACTTACCTTTCCTCTCGAAACTCATTGAAAAGAGCGTCCAGAAACAGATGACCAAACATCTTGACTATCACAATCTTCATGCTGAGCATCAAAGTGGTTATAGGTCAAATCATAGCTGCGAAACTGCGACCCTTACCATCTACAATGATCTTCTTTGTATCAGTGACATGAAAAGTAAGGTTATCCTCCTCCTTTTGGACCTCAGTGCTGCTTTTGATACTGTAAATCATCACTTGCTCCTAAAAAACTAAAAAAGGACTTTGGTTTTGAAGGTACTGTTCTCGAATGGTTTACATCATACCTTAATAACAGATCCTTCACAGTAACTATTGATAAATCAAGATCAAAGAGATGCTTCCTTAGAATTGGAGTCCCGCAAGGTTCAATTCTAGGTCCAATTCTGTTTATACTTTACACAAAGGAGCTCAATCAGATCGCAAAGAGACATGGATTTAACATCCACATGTACGCAGATGACACTCAACTGTACATTGAGTTTAACCCACTATTTCGAGATCTCTCAACAATCGAAGAGAGAATAACAAATTGTTTTGAAGATATTAAGACCTGGATGACCCAAAATAAACTCAAACTGAACCAAAACAAAACAGAAGCTCTTGTAGTACAGACCAAGAACAGTTACTCTTCATGTCCAGTCGATTCAATACAACTTGACAATGCAGCTGACCCTGTGGATGCATCCCGCACAGTGAAAAGTTTAGGTGTCCTATTTGATCAATTCCTAACATTTGAAGACCAAATAAATTCAATTATCAGTTGCTGCAACATCCATCTGAGAAACCTTCGAGTTATAGGCTCAAAGCTTAACTATGATCTAAAAAGACAGCTCATTCACTGCTTGATCTTTTCAAAACTAGACTACTGCAATGGACTCTTATACGGTTTACCTGATCTTCTAATAAAGAAACTCCAGAAGGTACAAAATTCCTGTGTTCGATTCTTGTTTGGTTGGAAAGCTATCAAAAAATGGGACAGTGTCACTCCATTCCTGAAAAAAGCCCATTTTCTTCCGATACGACAACGAATAGAGTATAAGATTGCTCTAACCGTGTTCAAATGCGTTAACAACATAGCGCCGGAGTATATCATCAAATGTATTGACATCAAAAGTCAACCTGTACGTGTACTAAGAACTGAAGAAGACTATTTCCTCCTAAATGTTCCTCCTATTTCAAACTATAGTAAAACTGAGAGAAGTTTCAGCTACTGCGGACCCTCTGTTTGGAATAAGCTTCCTTATCAATTGAGAACACTAACCGATATCGTCTTATTTAAAAAGAAACTAAAAACTCATCTCTTTGAAAACGTATTTGTATAAGTATCATGTATTACCTTTCTCATAAAATGCATACTTCATAAAAATAAGTTCTTTAAATGTACATGTTACTCATGAGTCGCTTTAGATGGTTTGAACTGAATCTTTGGGTTTTGAGTTCTTTATGGCTATAAAGCGATGTATAAATTCCTACTTATTATTATTATTATTACTGATATCAGTACATTTTCAAATGTCAAGCTACTTCATGCGAGTATGTAAATCTGTATTGTTTTATATTACCTCTCATATTTCCTCTTAACGTAAGAGGCTATGCTTTAGGGTATAACACCCCAACATTAAAATTAATTTAATCTAAATTTAAATTGTAGTAGAGTACCTTGTTATTACGGGATTGATGGGTAATGGTTGTCTTTAAATCTAAATTACAAGTTTCACTTTATTATATTATTTGTTTGTTGTTTGTTAATTTATCTTAGCACCCAGTGCAGCTGTATCCCTTCTCTCATAAAATTCTATTAAAAATTATACAAAACTGCTTTTTAATAGACATTAAGAGAAACCAACAAGTTTAAGAGTTTAACTTTGATAAAAAGAAGAGTTAAAATCAATAAGAAATCAGACAAGATTAGCTACTAATGACAAGATTAGCTACTAATGCAATGATAATAATGTTAATCTTGACAAGCAATGTGTAGCCATTCACACAAGAACCCAGGTATCTGCTTAACACGTAACAGAGAATTAAACACAGAGGAGACATAGAACCACATATCAGCTCACAGTAGCGGTTACTATGGTTACTGGTGCTTGCAGAGGGTATCCATATGACAAAAATGTAAAATTCTATCCTGCCAGCTTTGGATTTTCACAAAATTACTTTCACATTTTTTCACAATATTTCAAATGGAAGACCCCCTGGGATAAGGTTGTATTTAAGCACACACAGCGCAGGAACATGATAGCGCAGGTAGAAGGGTGGCACACATAGCGCACTATAGCTACATAGCGCACTATAGCACCTGCAAATATGCTACCACAAAGTAATCTTAGCATCCACACGAAAACAGTGCAAGAGATGAGAGCTAGTGCTTGTACACGGGGTAAAAACGTGTAAAGCGTTAAGATTGGCACACAATGCACGCGGGGTGAGTGTGTGCGCAGCGCCACATAAAGCAAGCGCATCGCGTACCTCCAGCAACCCATCCGCTGGTGCTAGGACCGGAGTCTCTGTTGAGGCAGGGAGGGCACCAGCTGGTGTCCCAGTCTAGGATGTTGTAGTACTGATACACCTGTGTAGTGGGCACTTCCTTCCCCGCTTTCTGCTTCCCTAACACGTGGTGTTCCATCAGTCACACGTGGTCAAGTGTCACGTAACACGTGATCATGTGACACGTGATCATGTAACACGTGATCACGGGTTTTGGTTAAGTGTTTGCATTTTACATGGGGAGATCACACTCATCTAGAATCGAATGTTAATCAATTTGTATCCATCAGTCAGATCATTAGAGTCTATGTGCTTTCACAATGTGTCAAACAGTTAGTTAAATTAATCTTAAATTCGTGGTCGTTTTTAGCATCATTCTGTGTTTCAACTTGCACGTGAACTGATTGGATAATGCACGTGCTCGCTTGAGTTCACGTCGGTCGCTCCACTGTTTTATATGAATCAATACTTTTGATAATCTCCCCAAAATGCAGTCATTGAATTTCAAGCATACACATGTTCAAAACACAACGTAAAGCAGAACAGGATAATCTTAATAATCTGCTAATCTGTTCAAACGTTATCAACACACAATACCCACACAGACACACTACAAACAAACACACAAACACACGAACAAACACAACAAATGCTTCAGACAACACAGATGTGCCCAGGAAATACCTTTGCTGGAATCTGATGTTACTTTGGTCTGGATGGTCCGGGTGAGAAGCTCCTCAGTGAGACACTGGAATGCAGCTGCTAGATAAACCACACTGCAGTCAGTTACCCGCTTTGATATGTTGTGATCCACCAGCCATCTGGTGGTGTTAGTTTATTATTACCTAGATTAGTTAGTTAATTAATTAATTAATTAATTAATTCATTAACTAATTAATTAATTAATTTACTGCTTTAGTTTAGTAGGAATTAAGTGAGTTTTTCGGTCTCAATGTAACCAGAAAATTTACATAAATCTATTTAGTTTTATAATATTTATTCATATAACATGACAGTCGTAATACTCATAAAACCATTAAATAACCTGAAGAAGTGTCCTACAGAAAAGGAAAGAAGACACCGGACAGATTTACTGAACTTGTACTTGTCCATACTCATCAGGAACAAAGAGAACGCATGTACGCCTGACGCTGCAAGACAACATAATTAGTAAACTAAATAATTAGTAAAAACACGAGAACTGATGTGTCACTTGTCAGATACTTCAAAACTATAAAATAGTGTACTTCTTTGGAATGTGTGTCTTACCTAGTGCAAGGTGAGAGAGGTTATCATGGAAGATGAGTCTTAAAGCAGTTTGGACCTCAGCTTTGGATGTTCGGAGGAACCGAACTGAGAGGTGCTTCAACTCGTTGGAGAGCTTCTTCAGGGGGTGCTTCATAATCTCGCTGATGTAATCTGCGATGTTTTTAAAATAGTCCAAATTATTCAATATTATAGTGGGTATAATATGATCACTGCAATGATATGTTTGAATAGCTGAGATTATGGAGATTGACGAAACAGTAAAATTATACCACTTAAGATTTTGTCCGTCGCTATTTAAAAGTGAAAGTAACACATACCAACAGCATCTTTCTCGACGATCAAGTTGATATCAGTTCTACAAAACGTAAAGTTTGGGTTTTTTAGCGTGTTCTCGATGTGCTTGTTCCTCCATGGCCATTGTCTTAAAGGGTGTATCTCTTTCTCTGTTCTGCAAGTTAATTAGTTAATCGTCCATAATTGGTAGGGTGATGAACTTATTTTTGATCAATTTTATTTTGAACATTAAAGTTAACCAGGTTGTCTAAAGATTAGATATCTGGAGATTTGTTTGCAAAGGAAAAATGTTTTTTTTAACCACCAAGTACCTGTTACCGCTTGTTGCATGTTCTGATCTCTTAGGCGTTATCATTAGACGACTGTGGGGCTTGGTTGCTATCTCTCTGGTATGCACTCTGGTACGTACTATCTGGTAGCTTACATCATCATTTGGAATCTATATTTGGATATTCATTGATGAACACTCGAATTTCGCTATAAATATAACTGTAATCTGAAGCAGAAATTAAATAAGTTAATCATGCCGCAGAGAATGAGATCAGATTATTATTATGGTAGAATTTAATTTATGTGCATTATTTACAAGATGAATGAGACTCAAAAGATCAAAAAAATTTGGTATTCAAACTGAAAATATCCGGGAAATTTTGACAAATAAATTATGGCGAGTCGTAATAGGTCTTCAGAAATCCTTAAAAATCAATGCAATTAAATTCCAAAATGAGCTTACAATAATAACTGAGGTCTCAATAAAAACAATCAACTTGCATATTGCTGTTTATTTTGGTAGTAATTTGCATAAAAACTTGAAAATCATATCATATATACTTGCACACTACCAATTTATCTCATACTTCAACGTATGTCACGTCTTCCAACTAAAACAACTCATGTATACAAAATTATATATAACATAACGTAAAAATCAGTTCACAAAATAAAGCAACATCAAAATTTCATACAAAATCAAATCCTTCTGAACCATACTTAATGGCTATCTTTAACTTACTTTTAACAATTTCGAACGATTTATAACTTGGCAGTTTCAGTAAATTAAAACAAGTGCTGGCAGTAGGTAATTTATTCTGGTCATGAGTTTTACTAATGGTGAAGGGCATCACCTCCCCGGATCCCTGCAGACCAGCAAACCCTCCCAGAGGCACCTTGGAGCTACCAGTGCAGAATTGTAAGAGCAGTGCGCGCTCCTCAGGGGTAAATTCGTGGACAACCTCCCAGAACCAGAGGATCACTTGATCTTCAGCCTCGTAGTTGTTGTAGGTGGTGTTTGTTTCCCAGTCGTGGGGGTCAATGTTGGGAACCCCACACATTAGTAATTCCAGCTCGTTTTCGTTGAATATAGCGACGAGTGAGGCTGGGATTATGGAATGAAATCCATCAAGAAAACTGTTGATCTGGGGCCGGATAGCGCTTGTCATTTTATACTCTGTTACTAACTCCACGTATTCCTGTTTGTTACTTTCAGCTACTGGAATACTGGAACCTCCTGGTTTTAGTTCTACCACCCTGGCTTCACCCAGAACATTCTGATCTTCACTGAAAGTCAGTCCCAGATCATCTTCAAACTCTGTAATATCATTATCCAGCAACCATTGTAAACTGTTAGCATATCCTGGATCAATGGACCTAACATCAGTGTAATCAGATGGAATCCCAAGAATATGCTTGTAAAACGATTTTGTAAAATGGATATTGATGACATTGCTGTGGTACAAGGATAACCCCATTATAATCCCTGCAAATCTGAAATAATTTAAATGATCTTCTTGAATATCGGAAATATGACTAGGTTGGAAGGTCATACCATCGTTCGAATTAGTAAAAAGTGCATAATCCTCATTTAGCATTTCATTTGTAAGAATATTGAACCATTCACGCCTCACACCAGCTCCTATACCTTGGTCCCCATGAAATGAAATCACAAAATTCTTCCTCAAATCGTCTAAATTAGCATTGTAGATCTCTGAACACGAGCTGTTGAATATGTCATCTCGACGGATTCTGATCTTTGCACTGTCATCAGGGTGAGTATTCGGAGCAATATCTTCATATAAATTGTCATAAAACCATTTCTTTCTGAGAGCAAGATCTTTCTGATAAATCACTTTTCTGATTCCATTGAACTGTCTCATGAAACTTGGAGATTCCAAGAAAAACTTAAGTTGGTTGAATATGAAAAAGCTGTTGTGAGCAAGGAAAACCTTAAAGACATCAGAATAGGAGGTAACAAACTCTTCAAATTTAAGGTGAAGAGAGGTGTCTTTTGACCACAGATGATATGCCTCAATGACTGTGCACAAATTATCTGAGACTTTATCCAGCGATTTAGAGTCACCATCAAATGTGTCACAGAGGAACAGATTTCCAGCTTTGGTATCGGTATCAGTTGAAGCTAGCAGCTCAGAAATTGATATATCTGACCTGCGTTTTGCAATGACTTCTTTACTAAGCATGGCCATCCACTGTTCAAGAATAATCCAAACATCATCAAGTCGATTTATGATCACAGGGCTTTCAAAGAAACATCCAAAAGTGAAAGAACTAGACCCTGATGGGGTAGTTGGAGGGGACATTGTAGTTGGTGTGCTTGAATCACTGTGAGTTCTAGATTTGCTGCAGTGAGATACAATGAGAGAAACTTCGTCTAACATGCTGATTTGTTTCAAGGCTTTCACAAGACTGACAAAAGCTTTTGGAGTAGCCTTATCAGTATTAGAAGACATGACTTCCTTTCCAGTATTTATTGTTAGAGAAACCAGAGTCTCCCAAATCTTTAAAACTAAACTTCTTTTTTTGCAGCAAATATGCTGGATACATTCAATTACATATTTGTAGTTGATCATTTCAGGAACTCTGAGGGTCTCAATGAGATTGCACAACTGAGTAGGGTGAGACTGTGTCAAAGAATAGACACAGTCAAGGTACCGATTAGAAACCAAGATTTGTAACACTGACATACCATTTGAATTTTTAGCTGAAGGACTAGCCCCATATGATAGCAAAAGATCTATACATTGTTGGTGCCCTTCTTTAGCTGACAGTATGAGAGGTGAATGCCCTTCAATGTTCACATCATTTACTTGAGCACCGTTGTCAACTAAATATTCCACTGTTTTATAATGTCCATGCATGGCCGCAAAATGCAAAGCTGTCTGACCCATTTTATCACGTACATTAAGCTCAATGTTCCGTGAAAGCAAATCAGCAAGGAGCTCATTTCTGCCACTTAGAGCTGCCCAATGAACAGATGTTAAACCATCGTTATCTGGTACTTTTGGATCCGCACCTTTATTTAAAAGAAGCTTGCAACAATCTTTAAATCCATTACGAGCAGCAAAATGTAATGGAACAACCCCATTGCTATCTGGCCTATTTGGATTGGCACCAGCGTTCAAGAGAACTGCAACACATTCAGCTGCACCAATGTTTGCAGCCATATGAAGTAAAGTTCGCTTTATTTTTGGTAAAACAGTATCAATGTCAAAATATGGACTACTGCTAATCAATTCTGACACTTTTCTATGTTCTTTTTGCAGCACCATGGGAAGTAACATATTGAGAGCAGCATAGTTGTCTTGAGGGAGTTGGATGGAATGCCCGATTTTCAGGGTTTTGAGCACACTTAGGAATGAGCGGTCCATAATCTGAGATAAATCAAATGTTATATCAAAAGAATATTCAACAAAGATTATTGACTATCATATAATTGTAGTCTGAAATCAATCAATAAAAATAAATAAAGGATAAATCATCAACCTCGAAATCAAAGATAACTTGGTTGTTTGCTTTCAAATTTGAGAACAGTACTTGTCCTGTGTCACCTAGAGGGCCTAGGACCATAACATTCATCTTTATTGACAATTTGGTGTGAACAGGTTGCTCCTGTGCCACCTACTTGTAACTTGTGACTTAACTATCTTAATAGGTTAGCAAGGGCATTGAGCTCAGGGTGAGAATCCTTGTCACGTTTTTTGGTCAGTTTCGCCGGGGCTCATGTCTCTCCTCGAGAGAGCATTAGTGTCTACAGAAAAACTGACAAATCCTAGCGAAGTCCAATCCGAACCACATCTTCCATCAGAGGTGGTGCTGGGTCAGCTGGTTACTGAACGGATTGGCCTGGAGAATGGCATAGTCCTATTATTCTCAAGTTTACCACAGAGGGGGTCAGGCGCTGTTCGCTCACGGCTGGTTCTTGGAGCCAACACCCTCAGCCCCACAGAAGTGGGATCACTGTCGGCGGTGGCTCACCCAGAAAACGGACAGTGTCTCTCCTTCTTTCTTCTTGGACTTGCATTGCTGCTGGCGAGTCAGCCAGTAGCAAATGTAGCATCTCACTCACTCAATCACATCAGCATTTCAAACACAGAGACTGGCACTCTCTACTCCGCCACGGAAAGTGGACAAAATAACCCATCCAGTCATGGAAAAATGACATTATTGAACCAGCCGCAAAACCATATAAACCACGGAATATCACTAAAACTCCAAAGTGAGCGCTCTAAAACAGGAAGAGTCTGGAAAGCGCCAAGGCAAACTAGCATAGAAATACCGCGCACGAACATATTTTCACGAGCAACTATAGACTACTTCACAAACGGCATCACATGACGTCAAAAGATAAATACGTGAAACCAAAGATAAACCAAAGGAACATCACACCAGGGTTCGAGTTTAATATCATCTCAACTCGATCCTCCTAAATACTAAAAGCACGACACAACCTCGAGGATCACCAGGGCAGGCCCGCTAGCATAATGCGGTGGTAGTTCCTCGAAGTAACGCACTACCTTTTCCGGGAGGGTGTTTCGACACCTGACTCCAGACGGGTTCTATGGAGTCTCTCGATGACGGATCATTATGGCAGATAACCTTAGGGTCATCGCTGATCCACCGGGTCATAACTATGTTATGTCTTTTGGACGTACCGGGCTCTGCGAACCCCATGCCAAGCAGAGCAAAAGGTACAAAGCCTGCAGTCCAAAGGAGCTCCATCAGACGTTAGCCACAAGGCGGACGTAGCCTCCTTGCTAATCCGGGGAGGTAGAGTGAGCGCCCTCGACCAAAAAAAAAAAAAGAAAAAAAAAAGGGCATTGAGCAAATCTGAATTTTTCACCATGAGGCCCTCTGACCGTATGGAGCTTGCTCAACCCGCATGCAGCATGGGGATTATATCAGTTCCGGTAGTGATTGACAAAAAACTAAATAATAATAAACAATTTAAGTTCAGCTAAAAAGTATTAAGATATATTGGATCATAATTATGTATGAAAAACAATCTTGAAAGCTATGCGAAAAATTTGTAATCAGGATGCTGCAAATTCGAGCCTGTCATGTCCCAATTGAGAGGGTGCTTAATCACTATACACTGTAACTTTGAGACAGTTGAAGCCAACTGGAAACGAACGCTGATTATAGTAAAGGATGTGGATTATTTGATTGATACCCCAGAATCATCAAATCCAACAAATTTTCTACACATTTGGAAATGCTTTCGACTTGTCCTGTAAGCTTAAAAAGCCATATAACTCACAAAGCTAACCCCTCTAACATAACATTTAAGGAACCCATGGATAACAGACAGCATAAAATCACCTCACACCTGTGCATGTGGACAAAAAATATCAACTAAAAGACGATTGGACAGATAAATAAATGAAAGAAAACCAATGTTTTAGGGGCCATTTAGAAAAGATGGCTCATACAAAATTTTGAGATAGGCCAATAAGGTATATTGGATTATAACTATGTATGAAAAACATTCTTAAAAGCTATGCGACAAATTTGTAATCAGGATGTTGCAAATTCGAGCCTGTCATGTGCCAATTGAGAGGATAAAAAAAAATCAAATCAAAACATAATGACACAAACATCATCACACATCATCAAAAATATATCTACTAAAGTTTTAAAAATATCTTAAATCTATTGGCCTAAACAACCAAGATAAAATTAATCTAATTTACATACTTTCCACTACTATATAAGTTAATAAAGCGTTTCTTAGCAACATGAGGATTACACACAAGATATTCATTGTGCTTCTCTTTATTAGTAGCATAATTTAATCCCTCAATTTTTCCTAATACTTCGTCCGAAACATACCAAAAATGAATATCATTTACGGATCCGTTTAAAATAGTCTCTTTTTTGAAAGCTTCTAATCTTATTTTAAAACTTAACACAGTCCCACAATTTTTGACATCCGAGGGGAGTTTGTTCCAATAAGGTCTCACCCTCTCCGGAAGAAAAGAACTGTGGACTTTCTTCATTTTACTGCTACTTTTACTGCATCCACTGTTTGATACCACATTAAAACCAGATCTGCTCATACTGAACAAATCAGCTCCGTAATTGGCCAAACCACTTATCATTTTAAAAGATTCAATGAGGTCCCCACGTATTCGCCGCTCTGCCAGCGTTGTTAAATTGAGGATTTCCAGTCGACGACTGTATGGAAGAGTACCCACCTCGTCAATCAGACGGGTAAACCGCCTCTGGACGCTCTCCAGCTCCAAGATGATCCCCCAACTTCCATGAGCCGCAACTGGACTCCACAATTGAACACAATACTCTAAATGGGGTCTTATTAAAGCTTTGTAAATGGATATCATCACAGATTTTTCCCTGATAATCAGATTTCTAACAATCCAACATATCATTCTGTTGGCTTTAGATATTGAAGCCTTAATCTGTTCATTCCAAAGCAGAGATGCTTAATCACTATACACAAAAACGTTGAGACAGTTGATATAAAGCCAACTGGAAACGACGTATTTTCGAACGCTGATTATAGTAAATTATAGCTGATTATAATAAATAAAAAGATGTTATATGGCCTGGATTTATATATTTGATCGATACACCAGAATCATCAAATCCAACAACATTTTTACACATTCGGAAATGCTTTCGACTTGGCCTGTAAGCTTAAAAAGCCATATAACTCACAACGCTAACCCCTCTAATATTTAAGGAACCCGTGGATAACAGACAACATAAAATCACCTGTACATGTAGACAAAAATATCAACTAAAATTAGAAAAAAAAGGGTTATGCAAAATTTTGATCTATTCAATTTTGAAAATCTTGGACCTCTTTTTTATTGTCATACGTTGTATGACCCGCCGCGCACGAGTGCGCGCCTCCACCTGTATCGTAGAAACTCTACAGGGGTGAAACGACCGCGTGGGGGTCACGACGTGATACAAGTTTTTGAACGAGTTTTTACTCGATTTTCACAACTCGCGATTGAAAATCGATCGCAAAATACATGCACATAAGTTAAACGGTAACGTTGCACCGACGGTAATTTTTTGCTAGAAACAATATTTTTCCATGAGACCGCAAAAGCAGCTGGTAAATATTAATCTCGATCCTTTATCAAAAATAGCTATGATGTATAATTAAGTCAATTTCAAAAGAATTTTGATGAAGACCCCCGCCCCGGCCAACTTATAATTGAAGCTATACATTTTAAAACTGCATAACGTGTAATTACCTTGATTCAAAATGTCAACCCTTCGCATCTCGCCGATCTACAGTCTAGTGGTTGCGAAAATATGAGCGGCGTTTATTGTTGCACGCAGGGATTAGCTTGAAAAGAGCGCCGCGTACAAAGATTGGCGAGCCCTAGGTAAAACAGGGCCAGTGATTTTACTCGTAAAGTGTAAAGCAAATCACTGGCCCTGCTTATTTTGAGTATTGAGTTAAACGGAGCTAATGGAGGGTATTGCATTGGCACACTGTCATAGAGCATTTAATACAATCACAGACTGCTGACTTAAAAGATACTTGGACTCCAAACAATTTTAAATTGTAGTAATATAATCTAATTGCAGCGGCACACACTTTAAACTATTACTATCATGATTGTTCTATACACTGAAAAACTCTCAGATCGATGTTGGGAAATTTTAACCGCTTGTAATGTATTGTAGGTTTACAACCTACCAGGACGCGCGCAGAGTTGGACTCGTCGACGGTCCTGTATATATATGGAACAGATATTTTACAGATATTTTACGAGTATCACCCGTTAAGTAATGTATTAATTATTAAATATCTTAATTTATAAAGATTTAATCAGAACGAATTAATAATTAAAACTTGATAATTTATTTATTCGATTGAAATTGGGCTGTTGAGCTTGATTTGAAATGTCTGATTTATTATAATTCACCTTATGAGGTTATAGTTTTTGATGATCTTCTGTATCATTATGTTTCGATTTGATTTGTAGTGTGCTTTGCCAATTGCAACACTAAAAATTTGATTGTGCTCTGGCCTCTGCCAATTACATCACTTGATTTAATTGAATGTATAGGGACACGTTCATTGAAGTTTGAGGATATTGGTAAATATTAGTGACCCTACTGAATGGCACGATGATGTAAAATGTGTCACACTATGAAACTATATAAACCCTCTAACCCTAAGATAATCGTTTCATCCTTTAGATAAACTTTGTCGCATAACGATATCTTTATCAGACGATAAGATATCGCTTAAATGCGGCCGGCAGTGAGTTGTAAACTTTGTCACACTATAAAAACGTGACGGAGTTTATATGGACCCCTTGTTGCCGTGTTTGACCAAATTTTCGAATTTTCAATTCATAGAATAGCTGTATATGACTATTATCTACATAT